AATTTCACCTAGGACTGAGTTCTCATGGAAAGCTGTGAACATTTAGACCACTGAACTGACGTGTAACGGTTTGTTTGTCTGATTTCAACAAATCCGCGGTATAGTCTTCACTGGATGACTGCCTCACACCTAATGTGGTAGAATTTCTCTGGCTACGACTTGTCATTTGAACTCCAGTGATTTCCTCTCAATGTTAGTCGCTTAAGGGTCTCAATTCTATTTCCTAGTGTGATAGTACATGCACAACGCTGAAGCATCGTATACTACGATGAAATAACTGTCTAATGTTTCTTAGTTTTCATTAAGTGTCTAACTTGAGTCAATTCGTGATCTTCATTTGGTTAAAGGCAAGGTCATGTACGTATTGTGACTCATTAACGAAATGTATTTAGGATCTTTAGTGAACTTATACTAAATCAACTTCGAAATATTTTTCACTTAATCCCAAAGTCATAGACACATAGACTGAGCAGTGACCTTATGAAATGTTTACGCCGAAACTTTACTAACTAGTAACTAATATCAAATTTCCGAATCATCAGTGAACCTAACGATGTATTTAGTGTTAATAAAAAGTTGTAAATTCTCTTCAATAAATGATTGAGGAAAAATTATCAAATACTTTTTAACATATCAATCAATAAACATTACAACTTAATCAGAAAAAAACACAAGCAAGATCCAGACAAACAATTTATATATATATATATATATATATATATATATATATATATATATCCATTGTCTAAGGTTGGTTTTGTAACGGCAGTTTATTTCTAATTTTAAAACTACACACTTGGCTTAAACTACAAATAATATTAGTATCGCTTCAAATTGCTCTATTTCTCTACTGAATCTATGGTGATTTGATTAACTTTCATGATGATACTGTTGAATAGAACTACCAACAACAAGAACAAATTACTGACCAATGAATTTAATTATACAATTAAAGTTGGTTTTTTTTCTGGCAACAATATACAATTAAATTCTATGTATTAGTTATTGTTAATTTGTATGTAGTAAAGTTCTGTTTGTTTGTTTATGTCAATTAAAAGTAGAAATTATAACTTAATATTTTTGCCAATATAAATCTAGGGCATTCGGATAGATTAGATTTCTAGATAATATTTATATATCCAAGAATAGAAATAAAAGAGAAAGACAATACTAGATGGTGGTTGGAGGTAGTCGACAGGAAACCCTGGACCCAGGTTTCGTGCTACTTGGCATTCGTCAGCAAGGTGTACCTGTAGTCTTGAAGGAAATGGTGCCCCCTGACTGATTCGATCCCGTGTCACCCCGCTTCACAGTCAGAGACGCTACCATTGAGCTGTCCGGGCTGCGACCAACCTCCTGTAGGACTGAGATGTAATCACAATTGATTGATCACTCGGTAGTGATCAATGTCATGTGTGTCAAGTCTTTATTAGTGCAGATCGAATGCAATACTTTTCAATTATGATTTAATATACTAGTATTAATGAAAGTTAATTTTGTTGAAAATTCTGAAAACTATACAGTTTAGTTATTACTCTGTCATCCTCCTATTCAATTCTTTAATAGATCAATGGATTATGTATAAACTATTCCAATGTTAACAGTTTGAATTATTTTTCTGGTTAGCGTTTTTTTTAGGAAGGGGTCGCTAACCCCATGCACAACCCTCCTCCTTTATCCGGGCTTGGGACTGACAGTAACCTCAGAGGGAACTCCAGGCGGAGTTTATTCCAATGTTAGTCATTATCTAAATTTTGTCAATATTTAGCATTATTGAAGCTATTTACTTAAGGTGCACATAAACTACAACAGACGGGTCATTTTCAGTCCTTAGTAATATTAACGAAAAGATACAAGCACTTACAAGTTAAATATATATTTATTTTTTTGAAAAAAACTATGGATAGACTACTATCATAACGCCTGCAATACTGGTGAATATAATTTTTTTTTCAATGATTAGCAATAAATTCTGTATTTATAAACTTTTTTTTCTGTCAAATCACCTTTTTATAAAGTTAATTTCTTTATTATTTTCCAACTATAATTGACTTATTAATTCGATAGGTCATTTTCTGAAGCTATTCACATGGAGCATCAATTAGTTGAAATGAATAAATCAACTGAATTCAGTTCAATGAAAAGTAGAAAATTAAGTGATAGTAGTATTCCATCATCAGCTGAAGCGCCAATTGTATCAGCAACATCTTCCTCTTCGACAACAGTTACAACAGCAGCCTATCGATTCAGTAATTCACATTTATCCGATTATATGGCTAAATTACATATGGATCAATCTTAAACGTTATCTATTTTATTCTCTATTCATTTATGATTATTTTACTTATTATTATCTCTCTTATATTTGCCAAAAAATAATCCGTATTAAATTTACAAATGTATTTTCTTTAACTGTAGTTCTCCTTAATATTGTACATTACTGAGATTGTTTGTATTTATTACCGTTATAATCTGATATATTATTACTATTATTATTATCATTACTATTATTAGAAATGAGTAAATTAAAAAAGATGTCTGTTATTTGATATCTAACCCTAGTCAATAGATTTTTGTTACTCTTGTATACAATCCTAATTAACAAGTTAATTAATTATATTTGTGCATGTTTCCATGTATGTACTCGTCAATTTAAACGTCTTTATCTCTTAGTTCTCATTCAATTGATTTTTCATCAATTCCTCTCTTCTTTGTTTGTTTATTTTATATATATCCATACGTGTTGTTATGAGATTTGTATTAAATTGACATTTTGCATCTGTAAATATCTCGACAACTTATTCATTTTGTTTTTTTTTTTCTTATCATTATTTTTTTGGAATATTCCAAGTGTTCGAACTTGGGGGGGGTGAGAGCGGAATTAAGAAAAAAAGTGTAATCTATCTATTCTCATTTATTATGAACTTCATTCACCTGAAAAAATATCCATGTTATCTATCTCTCCCTCCCGTTCTCTCTCTCTTTTTGAATGTATTTATGTGTCTATATATATTTATTTATATAAATGTTGAATAATTTTGTTTCTTTTTTTTCAGATTTTGATAATTGTATTCCGATTTCATAGATTATACTAATTTCTTCATTTAAAAACGATTCATTGTAATTTTATGTATTTGTTGATAATCAATAAACAGTTTTATATATACGTAGTTTATATTAACTAGTCTATTACTGTTCTCATTTAATTGTTCTTTTGTGTACATTATTCAGAAATTTCTAATAGTGATAATAATATTAATAATTATTATTATAATCGATTTTTTTTTAATAATTAAGAATATTAGCTGGTTATTCTTATTCTTTCTTTATTCTTTGTATATATCAACTAAATGATTGCAACTCCATATATACATATATAATAACCAAATAAGATCAATCTTTTTGCAATATTATTCTCTGTGAATGTATTAGCTTTTTTTTTTCTTTTATGGAACCTTTCTGCAAACAAAATAAAACTAAGCAGTTTATGGAATTTCTGTTCTAATTAGCGATTATTATTACTCTATCATAGTGTATCGAATAAAACACTGAATATGATTATAATTCTTTTTTTTTCCTGATATTTTTCGGCTTTGTTCCTATATTTCTGTTCATTCTTTCATATCCCTCTTGTTCTTCCCAATTACATATTACAGTATGATAAAAATTATATTTGCTTTGACTAATCATTTCTTTGTTCTTGTATTGTTCCTTTTTATATGGCTTGTGTGTAGAGTTGTTTTGCTTATTAATATCATTCGTTATATATATATATATATATATATATATATATATATATATATGCATTGAATAGTTCTTTATCCTTAAATCCTTGTCTTGTTTTTGCCTCGATATTCATGTTGTGATTGTATGTTACTGAGGAACAGAATAATGATATCAATCTATACAGAATGATAAATGTATATTCGTATAAATAACTGTTAATGGTACAATTAACAATTATCATATCGATCTAATTGTCATAAATACTAATTTTCTCTCTCTTTTACCTTGCTCTGTTCACTTGATAAGTTTTCTGATTTATTTTTCTGTTCGTTTGTTTTCTTTTTATGCTTTTCTTTTTACAGTTATTAGCTTTGACTAACTTATTATTCTCATTTTGCAGGACTGTGTTCATAATATTCATTTAAATGAAACTTCTATGATTACTAGGGTTTTGTACACAAGTGAATATATATCTTTTAAAAAAGTAAATGCTAAGCAATGAGTTTTAATTAAATATCACTGTATCAATGATTTTGAAAGTTTTGAATTGATATCATGTATTGTTGCACAGGATAATAGTGTGGGAATCAATGCGAACTTAAAATCCATAAAATGGCCGAACTGAAGACTCAGATCTTAAACTACCACATATATCCTTAAAGTATCTACGAAAGTCGTAAGCAGTGTGGAACCTGAAACAGATGTGACTTTTAAAGTACAGTTTTACAATAATAATATTCTCTAGTCTAACAATGAAGGAGACTGGAAATATTCTGTGCTAAAAAGTCTAGGTCATAACATCCGCTTTGAATTTTCCAGTTTTATATATATATTGTTGGGTTTACTTTTCCATTGTATCGACTACTCTATTTAGATTACAATTATTTCCAGTTTACGATCAATACACATATAATACAAACACTCATCTATATGATATTATATTATTAATCGCTTAATGCTTTTGTCTCATTGGTAATAATACTTTAGTCTGCTTTACATTACCCAAGCTTTTTGTAGACTACAGATTAAAGACCAACTAGATAATTTTTACTGATCGTTACCAGTTAACTATATATAACCCCATTAGTGACGCATTTCCCTGTAATACAGTGGAATACCAATAGTTTCATTTGACTTAGCGTTAATAAAGATTTAGTTGAAAGAAATTATTTTCTGTTACATCTACTTCAAATGATCTTCCTTTCGAAAAGGTCACTGAGTGCAATAAATAATATTTATCATAATACTTTAGATAATCAACAACAAATCCTCCATCAGTATTTTTATAATCATATTGGTCATACGAATTGCTCTGCGAACAGTCATCTTAATCATCACTCAATGCCGGTGTATATTGCCACTAACGATGATCCTATTCGTTAGTCAGTTGATTAATCTACGAAAATAGATCATATTATTTTATTTAGACTTTTATTATCTAATCAACCAAGTACAGGTTTGTATACTTGGCTTTGAATGTACGAGCTTGCGGATAAAATCGAACACTAACCACTAAGCTACCATTCCACTGAATTCCTCTTGCAAATAAAACTAAGTTTTTAACAAAACAGTATATTTTTTTGTGTAAAAGCCAAAGTCGATTAACCTTTCTTTGTTTAAAAAAAGGTTGGAATACACACAAATCATTTAGATTTTGAAGAAAACATGATGGACTAATTTTTAACATTGATTGTCATACACAGTAATTTTAATATATGGTAAAAAAAAATGATAACATATAAATGCCCCGTTTATTTGTTCTATTTCTTGAAAAAATATTTGCCATTAGATGAAAGCCAACTGCTTGAAAATAAACAACAATAAACTGATAATAGTTAACTTAGTACAAATTAACAGATTAGTATGACAGAAAGAGAGCACTGGGTAACCAGAAAAGAACACAAATCAGTATATTTACTACAAAATCAATGACATTTTTTTGAATACAAATGGAAATAAAGAGGAAATAATTTTTAAAATAAATTCATGGAAAATTTTATTACAACAAAAAACAAAACAAAGGGTTTAATTTGGTTACAATTCATAGAATAAACAATTAGTATCGACTAACCGGTTCATTTATATTGATTTTTTGTGTTTAAATATTATCACCTAGGTTTATATCAAGTTTCAATAATTGATTATGAAAAACATGGTTTGAATAATGTTATGATAAAAGTGAATATGAGCAAAGAAAATGGAAATAATCACAATAAAATGAACTCATCATCCTTTTTCGTTTTTTTTTCAAGATTTATAATTGTTGTGGTACATCTACTGGTTGCCAACTGGTAACATCTGATTTGAATAATACTTTTTGTGGTAAAAGATTAAGTCTATTGAAAAGAAAATTAAAAGTAGACATTATATTCGTGTTGATTAACTATAATTAAAATAATAATCAAATGTTATCCAACTAATAGAGTACATTCGTAAATCAGGAAAATATACTTTATACTTTATTTTCATATGCAAATGTTTCATACTATTCAAGAGAGAAGCAGTATTCTTGAAATCAAAAATAATTTCTTAATAAGCACTAAATTGTATCATTTAATAAGTTATAAACGTGAAGGATATTATTTTTGATTGCACACAGTTACTATTTTAATCTTAGCAAGTATTCATTCGAGATTATGATAATTTCTACCAAATATTTACATCACTCAGAATGAAAAACCATAGTATACATATTTTTGATTGGTTAAAAACTCTTTACTAATGATCACTGAATTAAACCAGAATCATTAGATAAAATATCAAGCTAACTGAATTCTCTTTTCAACACGTTTTGATTTCCACTTGTATTTTGAGATGGAAGTGACACTTTGAGAGTTCATCATAGTAAAAAAAAAACAGAAACAGCCTTTTAGTCCGAGTGTGAGACCCATCATTGGTGCACTCAAGGCCACACGAGGGTTCGAGCCCTTCGGGTCCCACGGCGAACTTCTGACCATTAATACCACTAGATCGACAAACAATGATATAATTCCGGATTGAGTCGCATAACGAACATTTTTGGCCATTGGTGCTCATTTCCATTGAGTCCCATAATATGACAAAATAACTGTATAGTAATCCTTAGTAGTGTGTTCATAAAGGATGAATTAAAGTTAGAATCCGTACAGGGACGGTTTAAACTTCGGATTCTTGGAACTGATTGTACGTTGAATTATAAGTTCAAGTGTAATAAGCTCGCACTCTACCCTTTATGGAAAATGAGACTCAAACTAAATCTTTTTCTTCAAAATACTTAATAAAGTATTCTTTACATCCAGTCAAGTAATTCAATATGCAAAAACTTCTAATCACATTTGTAACTCTTTGTAATTAGTGAAACAAATCCATTCTAAACCATCTCTTTATATAAAATACTTTACCAGTAAATTTTTCAGACTCTGGAATAATCTACCACAACCTGTTTGTATGATAAAATCACCCCCACCCTTTGTTCGCTACATTGATGTATACTACTCCTCTGAAAATGCATTATATGTTCTAGACACCTGTAAGTGTATCTTATTCCACAAGTAAGATTATAGGAACTGTAAATGCTTAGCCGTTCTTATTCCTGAAGCCATTAAGTAAAACCACCTATCTGCTTTTACTTTACATTAACACCATCCCTTGCAACCCAAATTTATTTGAGTAATATCTATCATGAACAGTATATCACTGAGTTACATGACACATCTATTATGGTAAACCTGACTGACATATTTTAGTAATTGTTGCTTTGTTATTCCGAGTTCTCTGTTTCCATTTTACTTTCTCTAGCTATGGATGGTTATATTTAATTCGCTATAGCATAGGAAATGACCCTAAATGCACCGTTTATAAATCAACCGGACGTCCGCTTTAAAAGAATTAAAAGTCCCCGGCTGTTGTATTTCATTGCTGTAATACATGTCATAAGTATATTACTTTAACAATTTTTTAACTAGTAAACTTAAAACAACCTTATATCACATGTATGCTTACATAAAATAACCTAGTATACAAGTAAATTGAATCATCACATGATATGACAGTTAAAACCTCATTCATATGAGAAACACTATCTCCATTAGATCTAATTATGTTTTAACATTTATAAATAACGTAAACAAAAACTTCAGTAAATTTAACAATTCTCGACTACATATATGAAGAACATAAAAAACCCCTCCCCCCTCTATTAATCCACAAGTTTTGATAATCCTGAAGAAATAGTATAGAAGAAAGTATCTGCTAACAAAATAATCACAACTATCTTTTAAAAAAACGAAATAATACAAAGTAAATGTATAGTTCTTTCTCTTCGGTATTGTCAACATAAATTAATTATCATAATCCAAGTATCATCTGTAAATATACGTTATTACTTCAGCAATTGATTGATAATAGGTAAATAGTCAAATTGACTTAGTAGACCATCACATCTTTAATTAAATCACTTAGTCTATATTATCTTTCATTTTAATAGAACTTGCTTATATCATCGAAATGCACATACACACACACACACAAATAGGTTGACAATACTTTAAAGCTACCTAAAATTGTGTATATTATCATTACATTTTAAAAGTACACATGGAAAGTTTCTAGACTATTTCTAACTTTTTTAATTGTCTCACTCTTGAAACTCATAATTTCAGATTCATTTAATTCAATGTAGATGTTTATAATGAACCTATTTGTTTAAAATGGTAGGTTATATTCGTGTAGTTTTGTGTACAATGAAATGGAAACATAATGCTTGATTGGATATTTCCTGTCTACTATCATTATTATTGAACAATTTTCCACATGGAATCAGTATTACTTTTGATTGATGATGCAACTGAAACCAGATGACAATAAAATTAAGTGAATTGTTTTCTAAAAAAGCTAGTGTCTCAATACTGAAATACAATAACTGAATAAAGCACTAAACTTTTATTGTTACTTAATAATAATAAAATAAAGGAAACTTATTATATGTGAAAATTATATTTAAAATAATCTCCGTGACTGAAATTTAAATGATTCCAACGTTTTGCCCAGCTAAGTTGTCTGAACTTCTTCAGAGTTGATCTTGATTATTACCCTAAAGAAGTCCAGACAAGTTAGTTGGACGAAACGTTGGAATTATGTAAATTTCATTCGCTAAGATTATTTCAATGACTTATTATTTTTATTATTATTATTTTAATGATTTCTCTAATCTTGACGAATATTCGTATAAAAAGGAACTTAATTGAAATGTATTATTATTTTAATGTAGAAATGAAACAAGATATCTTTCTAAAAGATTACTTCACAAGTAACTACATATAATGAATTATTATTTGTATATATTTATTCTTAAATCATTCTGAAGTAAACTTAAACTAAAAGAGGTTGTTCTAAAAAAATTAATGTGGTCAATGAGGTAAAAGATAAAATAAGATAAGAACTTAAGGGGTTGCATTACCACAGATAAAAGCCACAGCCTATTCCAAGGCTTAAAAACCAATGAAACGTATTCACTACAGAAGATTTAACACCGTTTCAAGTGAAAATATTTTTATATACAGTTAGTAAATTATCTTGTGAAATATAGTGTATAAAATGACGGCTCAATATCTTAGAGTCAAAACAAATTTTGACGGTTTGTTTTCAACAACAATAAAGTTATCTGAAAAGTACACCTTATCAAAAATCGTGTTTGTCAGTTGGGTAGATTTAAAATTTGTGGTCGTCTGGGCGGCTGTAAAGTTCAGATATCTAATTTTAAAATAATGGATCGTATCCACTAATCTATGGAGGAAATATCAAATAATCATGTGACTAAAAATGAACAACAATGAAAAAAAAATCAAATTGACAAAGTCTATCGAGGCAACCATTGATTTACAAGGTCATCGAAACAGGTTTATTTAGCTATTGTAGAATAATTAAGCAGCTCATTTCTACATGAAGTAAGGCTTGATGTTTATTATAACTACTACGTAAGTTTCCAGTTAAACTATCTAAATCCAAGAACACGTAACCCGATGTCTGATTCCCCAAAATATATTTCATGCTGTATTAAAAGGTTACACCTTTTGGAGGTAAAAAAATCTTTTATAATAAAGATGATTACTTCCTTAATAGCCTAAAATTGCTCACTTTCATACAAAATTTGAAATGAACTTTATGTATCAACTCATTAATTCATTCAAATCCATATGCATCAGACAATCATATCCACCACAGTTATTTTTCTGTATCTAATTTTAACGACATAATCTGTCAGAAATTTTCTGGCCACATCATTAAACCATAATTCATTCCTTTTCTTTTTTACTAAAAAGAAAAACATCATTACTACCGATAAACAAAATCGAAGAACGTAGGAGTTTTATTTAATAAATAAATAATATATATATTCCTGTAAAGTAAATATGACCTTATCATTTGTTTATGTATCATCTGACAACTCATTAAAGTCTATTTCATGAATATTATAGAAGAAATTACATTAAAATCAATTCAATTACTAGTAATAAATATGTTTTAAACAATATATATATATATATATATATATATATATATATATATATATAAAACTGATTAAACTTACCTATTTAAAATAAGCCATACAACTGAACCCATTGTATTCCATAAAACAATAGCACTAACATAAATAAATACACAAAATAAGAAACGACCTAAATAGTCGCGTGCTGTAGATAACCAATTCTCTGATTGTAATACAACTTCAGTAAAATATAATGAAGCATTATAACTAGATACATATATGTATATCATAAAGAAGAAAAAAGAAAAAAAAAAGTAAATAATTATTTATCATAATATTTAAGTAAAATAAATGATATTGGTAAACATGAAAATATACATTTGTTTTTTCTATCTTTTATTAGTTATTTTATAATTATAATTTAAAGCTCATAAATCGAACTACACAAATAATATTTCATTTCACTAGTATATATATATATATATATATGGGTCCATATAAAATGAACTTAGTTTAATTAAATGAACTACCTTCTTCATTCTCCATCTTTATTCTCATTTAACGAAAGAGTGTGTATCCATATCAACTTTAGGGCACTACATCTCATTAATAATAATAATAATAATAATAATAATAGGGTAAATACATTTTTAATTCCGTTTACATTTTTGTAATAACTTGTATTAATGTCTCACAAATAGTGTAGATTCATCGAGCTTAGTAATATTAAATTATATACATAAACTATATTAAAATATTCTGTTTCATTTAGATTTCTTAATTCTAAAATAATAATGAAATACTTTTAAAAGTGATAAGGTTTTTTCTTTTTATCACAGTCTATGATATTCTTTAAGATGGATAAAATCAAGGTCAACCGTAAAGAAAAAAAGAAGTGGCTTCTATTTATTTTATCTAAAATAACATACCGATCATTGTGAATAGTTCTTACTATTCAATGTTAATTAAACTAATATCAAAAACTTATTATAAACTTTTATGTGAATCATTAATAATAATAATAATAATAAACAAGTCATTTTACTATCCATTGTAAAGTAATACATTATTTTAGTTTGATAAATCAAAGTTCATATTAACGGTAATAATATTGTGTATTTACTAATTTCAACTGTAAACAATGCCAATTGAAACTTTATTAACTAGTGTTTTCAGTTAACTGAATGATTTAATAGTAAATTCTCTTGAAAATTTTTATAAACTTGGCCATATATTATTGATAGAAAAAGTAAAATATCAGATTAATTCATACTAACTAGATAGTGATATTTTATCTTATCAGTTAACTGTAGCTTTGATAATATTATATAGACTATTAAATAAACATAGTCATATACATGTATGGTATATGCTACTTATGTCTGTGGATGTAATGTCCAACAATATAGAGAAGTTGAATAAGAATATTTTTTCTATAAAGATGAGAGGTTCATGAAAATGTTTGAATTTGAAGATAGTTTAAATCACGGAATAACTTGACCTAGGCAACTGTTGAAAATCAAGAGGATTGGAACAGTTGCTTCGTTCTAGTATGAGATTCCTCTGAAATACTCACCTTAAACTCCTTCCATAAATCAAATCTAGGACCTTCAAGTCTCCATGTAAGTGAGTTATTTTTCAACCATTGAGTTGGTACTCAGAGATTAGCATTTTCAATTCGAGTCAATTTACAGCATTACCCGACGATCATCTAGCGTATTTGTGGCCATAGTATACAAAAATAATTGACTTAAAACAAGACTATCTTTTAAATATATATGATACAATGTTATGTTTGAGTATTGATCGCATAATATTAACTAAATCTAAAATAATATAAATCCTGCGATTTACGATCAGATCTATTCCCACAAAAGTCAATGTATCCAGTTCATTGCTTTATTGAATTATTTTCTTCACAACAATCCATTCTGAATTGTTGTACATCAAATTACGGTAACTTAAGTACTTAGTATTATTTGTTTGCAGCTTCAATCGTTAATAAAACATACAAAACGAGCAAATTTAATTTAAATTTAACTCGTTTCCCATTTTATTATGACATTAAATTTGATTTATGATTAATTACTTATGTGTAACTGTTGTGACTTTTAATCGAGATACGACTTACACAATCTTAGTACTGTACCAAACCAATGACGTTCGACCGGTATGAACAGTCTAGCGTCCTTATTGGTCCTTTATTCTCCTAGCCCTTTTAGTTGAGTCCAGAACACCTAAACCAGATTCTACTATGCGAATCGTATGCTTCAAACATACCTGTTTTATATACAAGCCAAATAGACCACATCACACCATAAAATAGGAAATAACATTTGTACAAGATCAAGCTCAAAAGTGACTGTAAACGTGGCAGACTGTAATTAATGAACTGAGTATAATTTAAGAATAGTAAATCGTATCATAATGATTTAGAGGTCAAAATAAAGCTTATAATAAGAGGAATATAGATATACATAATCCAGTTGCTGAATAGTTATACAATAAGAATATATATACTATTAGTCTAAGAATAGTTCTCAGAAGTTACCTATAATCTAATCTTTACTAGGATATAACAGTAACATCACAAAAAAAGGATTTCTAATAATCACAAATATTACATCGTGTATGTGAAAATATTCGTATTATAATATCATTTGAAATTCAATGATATTGATAAGATTGTAATAAATGAAAGGGAAGACAATCGTTACAAGCACTGAAACGTCTCAAAATTTGGTACATTCCTCTTGATGAATGAAAACTCAATCTATTATAAATCTTCTGATGAATGAGTTATAGGTCATTCATATGTACGTCACTTACCCATCTCTGACAATTAACATGAAGGTAATTTTCTCTATTTCTGGACTTTCTTATAGTTTTGAGACAGAAAATGAAAATTATACGTTTCACTGTAAAGACAACACTAAGACTATTTATACATGGTGTTATGAAAACAGCTAATTAGATCAGAAGGGGAATGTTGATATTATATATACGCAAACCAGATATAAAACAAATTTTATTAAACTTACTCTTTAAACAATTTTGGAACAATTGGTTTCAATGGACAGTAAGGTATATCAAGTCGACGAGCTTCCGCTAATTCTATATCACGTTCAGATTGTGTCATACGACAGTGTTTTGGTACTATAGCATCTGCAACTGAATACTCATTATGTCTTTTAATATCATCGAGTGTAAATGAAGAATGATGATTCCAATCGGAAGTTGATGGTTGTTTTTCCTTATTTATCATATGAATAGGAAGATTTAATTTAGCTAATGCTGAGTTACGATTTAATTGTGCTAACATTTTAGTTCGTAAATTTTGAGCAGCAGCCTATAAGAAAGAAAAATGGAATTTTTTTATATTATCATCGTTATTAATGGAAAATACTCTCTTTGTTTAAGTGAACCTGATAAGTTTCCTTTGCAACTTACAGGAGATAAATGATCATAAGGTCTTAGAGACTCTGAGTCATGGCGTATGTAATTTTAAAACAGTTATAAACCTGTGGTATATCACCTGCAAAACTAATTGATCTCAATATAACAATAGTTGTGTCGGAAGAAAACTTCTAACTACAAATATCACACTTTAACCTCGAAACAAGCTTCTTTCTAATAGAAAATCTCTCATAGAACGCTCGGCTTAAAAACAAACTTGGAACAAAATGAACACTAAGATATTTTCTATAAATATAATGAGAGGAAGAAATAAAGAGACTGAATATTCATAACACTCGGATCCTTCATAATTAATTCTTCAAGACATTCAAATAGAATATAAAATAAAAAAAATAGAAGGACTACTACTTAATTTGGTTTTTTAAGCATTTTTGTATCACTATATGGATTATCTCAACTGTGTAAGCTACATATTTCTATTATTGAGTACTGTCAACGAAGTACAATTCATTTCACGTTTATACCCTTACACTTCTTGGAACTAATACATGATATATCAAATAACAGTGCAACTATTTGAATTCTAGGACGCGCATTTTGTTCTTTTTGGGACTCGTCAGCTGGATGTGCCTGCATCCCAGAGTTGATGTCCACTCCAGAACTCGAACCCAGTACCGTTCGCTTCATATACCATCGCGTTATCCACTTAGCTACTGAGTCCTGATCGTCACCTGCTTTTGCAATGGGGTAAAGTTTAAATTCACTTGGTGTTGTTTTACTTGTATCTTCTCATAGTTATTTAGGACTGCAATTGTGACTTAAGGCTATATCAAGGCATAGGATGCAGATATCCCAATGAGTAGAACTTTAACGTCACGAATATATCATGAACTATCTTCTCGATGATCAAATTATCAAGTCAAACCTTGGTATTAATACCTACAAACGCTTATCGAATTTCTTTGATCATTTTAATTTATATATGAGTTCATTTTTTGTCTAATATTACTTCTTTATTAACTAGAATTATTTATATTATAACCGTTAAGTTGAATTTTCAAACCGATTCTCATGGACTTTTTGATATCGAATCTTTGGATTTTTACGTTTAACCCAAAATATATCAATGTGGAATCGTTTAATGATTTTTAACTATTTTATTTTTAATCAGAGAGGGGTTTTGTGAATATTATAGTAATTTAATAGTTGAATTCATGAGTCAATTGAAGCTAGACTACCTGAAAGCACTGGATTAGTTGAAGTTAGACATTACCGCCGTTAGATGCCGGCTCAGTGGTCTGATAGTTAAGCGCTCGCGCGCGAGACTGACAGGCCCTGGGTTCGAATCTCGCAAGGCGGGATCGTGGGTGCTCACTGCTGGGGATTTCCATATTAAGATAAAACGACCGTCCAGCTCTTCCAGGTTTTCTATTATGGTATAGCTTCAATTGACTCATGAATTCAACTATTAAATCCTTACATATTTTTCTAAATTAAGGCCACAAATCGTGATTCACCAATTTTTCAGGAGGTCACTTTACAGTCAGAATTTTCTTAGTTATACATTAAAACTGTGGGAATTCAATGTTCACTAAGCATAATTTAAAATAAGCGAATGATGAAAATCTGAAATAAGCTGAGTGAAAATGAAGATTAAAACCATGGAAAATTTAATCTTAAACTATAGACTTGTTAATATCTACACTTTGATGTGGCAAAAACCGAAATCCATTTTAAGTATACTAGAAATTAAAACTATTTACAAAGTTAAATCAAATAGCTGAAAAAGAATCGATGTTCTGTCATAATGATACCATAGAAAGATTGATAACTTAAGAACTCAAAAGTAGGAACACTTTCACGTAGAATATATTTGATATATAAAAAGAATTAATAAAACTGATTACGAGATTACATATTCTTAAATGAATTTGTAGATCACTTGTGAAGAAATATGAGAGTTTGTACAGGTATTTTAATCGTTGTCTACAAATCCTATGACGGTGTTGTGTAAATAGTTATTGGTAACATCTTTTGAGTGCAATAAAACAGTTAACAATTTGTCTAAAAATTACTATAAAACTCCAAGGCAGATAAATGTAAAGTAATTTTAACGGTGGTAATGGCATTATTCACTACAAAGTTTTCTAGCAATAAGAAATCATCAGCATAAAACGTGAACAATCTCGATAAATTCCTACAGTGTATTTTTATCAACACAAATCGATGTTTCAAAAGAAGTTGGAACACCAGAGATTAATTGATATTTTTTTTTATTGAGATCATGAACCAATTAATGTTTGATTACTATTGAGAACCTGGAAACAGTGGATGGCCATTTCTTCCTATCATGAATCGCCATAGCAGTGCGCATCCATGACTCCGCATGCGGGACTCTGACCCAGCACCTTCGGTCTCGCAAGAACGCTTAACCTGTAGAACACTGAGCCAGTCATTTCAGAAGAAATTTAAAATCTGTAAATTTATTCAAATATATTTCAAATAATTAGTCTAGATATTTAAGAAAATTCACCGGTTAATACATTCACATACTTTATATGCCAGTAGTAAACGACATTGTTCTTGTTCAACATCATTTAACCAAATAGTCCATTGATGCAGTAAAAATTGTGTTTCTCTTAATCTACGACTAACTTCTGATTCTAAACTTGTTAATTCATATTGATTCAAACGTTGAGCTGAACGTGTCACATGGACATTTACAAGACGAGCATGTAAATGAACAGGAAGAACCTAAATAAGACCAAAACAATAAATACCTAAAGAACTCAATGATGAAACTATATAAAAAGAGTATAATGTGTTAAAATATTGTATGAATAACCAGAAAAATGTAACTTTTAAAACTACTTAAGAAAATAGCATATAGAATTCTATTAAAGGATTATGATTACTCAACTATCTTTAAATTTTTTATGTGAAAGCTTCAGATAACCTGAAAAGGAATAGGTTTCCAACACGTCAATCTGTTTAAATACTTCATCTTGATTAGCCATTTAGTGAAGTGATAAATAAACAAACTAGTGTTTTAGTCTAAAAATAAAGCCTGAAAGAAATCGTTTGCAAGCTGACTCAAATCACATTACATCTGCTCATAATCATTGGATTTGAGAACAACTAAGTTCAGATACTCGTATACTCTAACTAATAAAATAATAAATTATTAGTTGATAGTTAAAGGTGATGTTTGCTTGGTGTTTTTCTTGAAACATGGTTGTTATTTCCCATTTGCGAAGTTTAATATTACTTGAAAAATTGTTTGATGTTAGCAAATTTTGAAGAAGTGGTAAAGCTCATAAAACAAATAGTTGCAAGTTCCAATGTGAACAGCAGCATCTAAATGCATGCACATTTTATTTGCCAGTTAAAAATACGACCGAATAGGTGTTATGACTTTCAGTGTTAGTTAGAAACCAATAAAATAAGTTCAGAGAACTATAACATCCCAGTTTCAAACTGCTTTTTACAATATAAGGAGCCGAATTTTGTTTGCTTCGTGAATATGTGGAAACTAAAAATGGTTGAAAATGATCAGACCGTGGGAAACCACAAATCCTCTTATCATGAGTGATTATCTTACAAAAGATAACACTCGAGAAGTTTCGAATAAGAAACTATGGCACATAGATCAACCTTGTAAAGAAATACCCTTTGGAAAAAATTCAGACAATAGGTCATTATCATGATTTAACTCAGCTAAAATGTTTTGCCTTCATTGTTCTTTATAGACAGCGAAACGTGGGATTCTGCTTTCGTTTGAGAAAATGTTCAATTTAGTTTGTAGATAAATTTCAAGCGATAAATAAATCTTATATAATTAATTCCAGTTTTCCATTGATCTCCAACCACGTTAGTTTAAGGGTATAAAGGGACATCATATTAAACAATAATTCGAAACCAATTACTCTGATAATAAATATGAACGTGATGACCCTAAATGTACTTACAAAAATCTTCTCATTAAAGATACATTGCTACAGAAAACCATAAAATGGATGAACTTACCAAATTATCGTAGTATCCAATATAGTCTAACATCTCTTGTGATAATAGTCTGTCTAAATGTGCAGAAGCTTGAGTTACAATCAGAAGTGCGATGACACTTGCACATAATTTTCGGATTGTACTAGGCTGCATAATCTGTAATATAATAGAATATTTTGAAAAGGAAAAGGAAAATCTTGACTTAACATTTAACGCTTCATTATAACCCAAGTTGTTTAATATCAGTCCATCTAGTAAATTCTCGTATGTCAAAACAAAGCATTATTAAAACAACGGCGATTATGTATGTCCTTTCGAAAGCCGTCGAGATTATATAAAATTTCATACTGTCAATTAAATTTTCTGTTTCAAATATGACCAATGTGTAATTTTAACGCACGTCTAATTCTACTTGAAAGTAGTATAAAATCTAATATAAACTTTTATGGAATGAATTTCTGCTACCGAATAAAATATGAAACTGTACAAATCATAGCCACTTATGCCGTTACCACTCGCCTTTATTCGCAAATTCACTATTCAACATTTTACGAACTGAATCTCTCGATTTTTTATTGAGTTTATTCCAATTATTGTCTTTTTTTGCTGGTTTCTTGATTACTATTATGTCCGAAATTTCATAACACATTTGGTGATTGTGAATTGTGGATGATCTATGCATCTTATATTATCAAACTCTATATACTATTCATATGATCTGGATTCATTTGATACTCCATAACATTTTGTTTGAGTTTCAACAAGTTTATTAGAAATTTATTGTTTATTGAGGATAAAGTTACATTTTATATTGAAGATTAACATTATATTCATCAAATAATAAAAACCATTCGTTCTATAAGTATACTAAAAGCAATCTAAAATTTCTCTTATAATCAAGTTGAAGATATGTTTACATTATCATATTCCTCACCAAAAAAATATCATGAAAAGTTGACGAGTTGAATTTAATAGGAAGTATGTGGTTAAATTATATATATATATATATATATATATATATATATATATATATATATATATATATATATATATATATATATATATATAATGCTAATGTTAGAAAATATGAGCTGACTATATTCAGTGAATTTTTGAAAAACGCTGTTAAATTTTAATAGGTGAAGTTGAATAAAAACACGAAAAATGTGTCACTGAAAAAGAATTAAATGTTGTTCAGCGAAAACTTTTTTTGTACTTCTAGGGATCAAATCTGTACAATCGTATTTAAAATAATTCGACAAATAAAGTAGTCTATTGAAAGACAGAAAGAAATTTACAGAATTGTACTTATCACAACAAAGTTGCTGAACAATCAGGAAGTTAATGGAAAATACGAAAACAAAAATTAAATGTATTAATACAATAGAAGAGTGATCTCGATGAAATAATAAATGTTCATATATAATCGGGGAAACATGCATACTTAGTATATCATGTTTAAAAAATAGAAAGTTTTATAATTTATATTATTACGCATTATTGTCATTATTTATTGCTTAGAATGCCCGCTATAAATAGGGAAGTATTTATAAATGGCTCAAACATATGCGATCATCTTCGTTAGTGCAAATTATGTAAGCATATTTGTCAATCGCTACGACCAAGTTGTATTGTATTACTCTTTTTTTTAAGGAGTCCATCTAAGTAAAATACCAGTATATCAAATTCTTATAATATTCTAGATTGTAAATTAATTTATCGGTAATTTAAAATTAATATTTTTCTGAGTAAAGTGTTTGAAGAATGAGAAAAAGGTGTTGTGAAAAACGGTACTAAAATAAACAGTCTATTATTTATTGACTATTCTGCAAAACATTTGAATATCACCTGTAATCACATAATGAGATGAATTCTATTATATTATGTAAGACTTTATTAGGCTACAGATTACCCAGATGGGATTAAACATGGATTGTAGGCTCTACTATTACGTGCTTTCAAAAATATATCATTACTGAGATATGTTAATCACGTCCAGAATAACTCATCAAGTAATTCATACAACAAAATTTTGTTAATCATTACCCTGAAATAACTAAGAATAATACTGTAAAAGTTATGTATGATCAGCTGAAAAATGTGATTTTTTTAAAGCTCCCAAGAAAAAAATGATAAGTAACTGTCATAAGACGTCATTCTTTGTAATTCATCTCTACGGTGTAATCGTAACCAAGTTTCAGTGATATATAAGGCACTGAATAGTTGTTTCATTTTACTGTCAAACTGAACAACAACATGCAGTAACTTTCTACTTAAAAGGAATTCAGAATTTTTAAGTTTTGTAGTAGGAACTGAGTCGTTTAGCCATTGAAAATGGACTCCATACATGAATTAATAACATGCCTATAATATTATGACTACCAATAATGATAATAGTTATCTACCCTAAGATACTAACTCCAATGGTTTATTGAATAATTTATTTATTGTAGTTATAAAATACACAATCATCTAAATGAAAAATTATGAGTTGTGGAATTCGCCTGAAGAGGACTAACTAATTTTGTATCAAACATCACTTTATTAATAGTATATATTTCAAACATATAACAGATCAACAAATTTAATACTTACTGTTTGAAATGCATGTTTAAATCCTTTTTGTAGTTTGTTTCTTTCTGTCATTCGACGTCTAAGACCTAGAAATTCAATGAAATAAAATAATACTTTAAAGAAAGTATACGTTTCACTATTATCATAACATAGGATAATACACAAATAAACTTGATTAATTTAGTGATGTTTGATTATTTTCAACAGTTATTTTGAAATGTTTGATACTATTCTCAAAAACAATCAACCAGAATAAACATTAATTTTAATATAGGTAATTGATTCACATGATGGAGTAATCATGCTCTCTTATTTAACTCGTAGCTCTTGTCAAGAATTAATCAATAGCTTCAATCAATCCACGAGATTGTTCGACCAACTTTCATTCTCTTTGGTGAGTAATTGCCTCAATCGATTAAAAATTCAAAGTCCAAGTGCCATATGCAGAGTCGCGGGTGCCAACTGAAGAGGAATCCATACTAGAACGAAACTCTGTTAAGTATATTCAGGTTTTTACTTATGTTCTAACTTAGATGAGTTTATTATTTTAGTGAAATCCAACAATCTCCACAACCTCAAACTGACAGTTATCAGTATTTTATATAGATAACATTTGACAGCTACTTTGTCCCAGTTTATCAATGTCCGCTTCTACAACACTATATATGATAAAACTCAAGGTGTTTATATGTCACAAAAAGCATTCCTGCCATTTTATCACAATCTGGCGATCCACATATTTAATATCAATCAGTCATAATGACAGCATCCTCACTTTACTTACTATCAAGTTATATGTGCACTTCTAACTTGGTCGATTCCATAGGTAACGACTTACAATTACAAGTGGAGTTCCGATGATAATAAAAACACTTACAAAATTCATATATGCATTAAATTTGAGTGAGAACAACCAAAAATAAATTCAAATACCTTCTTCAGTAAGGTCAATGAATACAACATCACCGTATAATATACGTTCAGCAGTATCTATAGTGTGCAGTACTCTGTGAATAAGCCATAATGCATCCAAAAATAAAGCCACGCCGAAAATATGCACCCAATTTAAATCAAAATCTGAAAATATCCAATTTTCTTCATTGGTCGATTTCGATGAATCACCACTATCCCTATCATCATCATTACTGGCAGTGATAGCAGTGGTTGTATAGGTAGTTCCATTTGAATCTTTTGTTTTCAATGAGTTTATGTCGTTATTTTTTGATTTATCTGATAAATCATTGACTCCACCTACATCTGATAAGGAATTTTCAACATGATAAGGTGACCAGAATTCCCCACTTGTCTCCTAAATAATCCAAAAAGTATAGAATAGCGATAAACTGATTATATCGATGTAAATAAAACAATCTGTAAACGCCTTCCTTCACTACTGGAAATCAGGAGTTACTGAATAGCTGTTTCGTCAATTTCAAAACAACATACAATACACAGCCTTTAAAAACATATTAGGACTTATTATCATTGGTTAACATACATAGCTTCTGTCTATTCCTCGTAATAGCTTAACTCGTAATAGCTCAATTATTGTCATAACTGTGTGTGTGCATTCCTATATGATTTACAAGCACTTAAGTACTGATATTAAATTTCATACTGATCAGAAATAATATCATAACTGATCAACTTAGCATACTAATGGAATGTTATACATATAAACCACGTCTTATATTCTTAAAGCATCAAATAATATGTAGATTGATTGCAGTTATTCAGAATATTTAGTTCGTTCCAACCTAGAGAGATAAAATTTTCAAAAATCACAAGAACACAAAGGATCAAGGGTTATGAGAACGCCTTCCTTTAATTTCTTAGTTGATTGTATAATCATTGTACGGATGTATACAAATGAATGAACATCGACATGAACAGAGTAAACACATTAGGAGATAAGTCATAGACCACTAGTTATTTTAATGCTCCAAATCCTTTTTCATATCACTTCCTCATTATTCATGTTGGATTATTTGTCTATTTATCAGGTAAGAATTAACAAACCTATCCAGCCAGTTCAAAGGCAAATAGTGAGATTTCGATGAAATATATGATGAAAGAAGCTGATATTATCCATGCACTTAATTATTTTTGTTCATCAAAATATATGAAAATTGGGTGAGACTCTAATTTAAGGACGACCTTTGAACGAATTTTAAGTGACCTTGAGAATAATAGCCAATCAGAAGACAGCCAGTATAACGTAGAAATATATTAGAAGAAACTAATGGGTTACAGTGAATATACTTCTTTTACATGATTTAAAAACTTATCAAGGTTTGCTAAAGTTTCAGATGCTTTGAAATCATATTGCATACGGTATAAAAAGTCATAAATTCCAAGTACCTGTCGAGTATATTTACGGAAATGCTACTTACACATTCCTACTTTATACTACGTCCCCTGTTGTATTTTCGCTTTCTACTGCCGTTTCATCTGTCTGCACGATACATCCTACTCCTCCGAATGATTGGTGTGCAAGTGTTATTTTAGTTGCACAACAGTACTCATACCACTGGACTGCTGAAGTTTCATAAACAACTGCAAACGCCGCAGCCAGTGTTACTGGTGTATTTATTACCCAATTTGCAACTATTATCATAATCTGACTCAGTTTCAGTAGCAATCGAGCAAAGAAAGTCCCCGTTCTAGCAGACTTTCTCCTCCAACATGAAGGACAACGAAATATAATCTCACCACGGTGATTTGCACACTTTACTGCGGTCATTTGATAACCGCAGTCTCACGTACAAGAACTTTTTAGTAATCCTAACCCTTGTAGCCTCTCAATAATAACCCCTTCTCTAAAATCCGCTGTAAACCGATCATATGTGAGCATCAGGTGTTAAACTTGGCTCCGTGACCTTGAAACGGCTCAAACGCTCCTGATTGGCTCGTCCTTAAATTAGAGTCTCGCCAAAACAAAGGCTACAGGGTTCGAGTCAGGACGAGATAGAAGACTTTGACTGATCTAGAATTTTTGAAATGACAGTCGTTAAAAACCAGTAAGTAATGGATAGTTATTTCGTGCTAATGTGGGACTTCAAAGTGGTGCTCACCGACTACTCAACTCAAGGTCGGACCCAAAAAATGTAGGACGGAGCAGTTACCTAAATATTAAGTTCTAACCGGAATTTCCCAGGTTCGATCCACAGTGAAGTCGCTGATGTTCAGTACTGAAAAGTGCCATATTAAGGTGAAATAGCTATCTATTGCTTTCTGGCTTCCAATAGTTGTCTAACTAAAGTCCGTTCGTGATCCCAATAACATCCAGCAATCCTCACCAAACCTCTATACTAGTAATATACAGTAAATACATAGCGATCTCTAAATTTTGATTAATTCAGTACGTTATACAAAAAGCAAAACGTTTTTACGGCTAATTTGTTAGAGTATAAAATAAAAAATAAAGATCCGTAATCGTCCAGTTGACAAATGAGTAGTTTTAGATAAAGTTGTCCCAAGTTCTAAAAAGAGATAACCTCTAATATCAAAACAGAAGATAATATTTGATCACGAAATCTTTGAATGCAATAACATATTCATAACATAAGCGCTTACAACATCCATCAATTGAGATACAAATGGAACATAAACTGGTCCATATTCCGGTTCGTCGGAACTAGATAATTTTCCATGAGTTGCTTGACTGCGTTTTATTGTAGGTGTTGGTATAACAAATTGTTCTGGTTCTAATGATGGCAAATTAACAGGTAATGAAAGTTGTGGTCCTTTAATGTTATTAAAATTAGTTTCTGCTGAAATTAATTTAGTCCAAGCTAAAAATGAACGCGTTGGATCATTTGGATCTGGTGTAAGTGCTCGTAGACGAACTACTTCGGAGTAGATAATACGAGCACCTATAATTTAAAGAAAATATAAGGTATAAGATAAAAATAGAACAGTGTTATATAAATATCTAGTTAACTAATACCAATACATTTTACTAAAGTTATGGTAAACAATGTGTGGGAATTATATTTGAAATAATCTCAGAACTTGCAATTTAAATAATTTCAAGGTTTAATCCAACACAAATTGCTCTGAATATCTTCGGAAGAATAATTAAAACAAAAGAATAAACAGTTCCATCCCTGTCAAAGACATATAATTCTGCATTCCTGCATCTATCTACTGATTATCCATGGACAGGATAAAGCCTTTGTTGTAATTATTATTCACTTCAATTGGATTACAAGTTTATCTTTAGATTTGCTTAAAAGTCGCTTAACACGTATCCAATTACATTTTCATGTTTAGTTGTCATATGTTGTACGTATCATAAACAAGGATTGGAATAATCATATAAACTTTGTGTAACATTGGCTAACTTAAAGTCCTCCAATTACTTTTATTCATTAGTCGTCGTTCTAAAGTAACTTGAAAAAAATTATCATTCTATACTGTTGGTGGAACTTCGACAATTTTATTGACCAAGTGATTTTCAAATGCGAAAATTCCAATCACAACTAAACGGGCTCCATTGGATTTCGTATGGGGCCATGGAAATCATCAGGATGAGAATTTGTGGAAATTGTAGTAGTTGGTTGAGGTTAGACATTAAAACCATCGGATGTCGGCGTTCGCGCGCGAAACTGAAGGTTCTGGGTTCAAGTCCCGAGTTCAGGGTAGTGGATGCGCACTACTGAGGAGTCCCATACTTGGACGGAACGGTCATCCAGTGCTTTTGAACCCAGGGCCTCCAGTCTCGCGCACGAACGCTTAATCTACTAGACCACTGAGCCGGTATCCAATCAATCCATGATCTTGTCTGAAGTGGATAAATGTCTCTATTCGGCTCATGAATACAACCATTAAAATTACTACAATCTCCACAACCCAATACTCAAGATTATTATCTGCCCACTAGTGACCAATTCGGGTGTGAGACAGTTACTTCTCCCCCAAAGACAATTGAAGATGATCATGCAATGTCGCCCATCTGATTCAAATGATCAGATTGAGCGTATTTTACAACCAATGAAATAACTTTTTGTGAGCAAAAGGATGTACCAGGCAAATCATGAGCACTAAACCGAACCACTATTTTTTAAATATAATAATAATTATTCCCTCACAATATTGGTGGGGGATATACAATTTAACCTATAGAGGTTTTATTTTATGCTATTGTCAATGGACGAGAAACTTGTCGATAATCATTGGTCCAAGTGTGATCGATTTTTAAGGTGGTAGGAAAATCTACCATTTTTTAAATGATTTATCACACCCCATCTCTCCAGCTGTTTATCATCCTACCCAATGAAACGAAAGGTACTGTTTTAATATAAAAGGTCAGTAATGTGTGGATGAGCAGCATTATTCACAATAACAATTTATTAAAATTAAGCACTGTAAAACTGAAGTCAATTGAATTTATTAATCTCTTGAAAACTTATCAAAATGAAACAAGAATAAAAAGTATTCGAAATAGACATAGTACTTTGTAAAGAACACGGACTTTCGCTTACCAGGGTACTCTGTGTTTAGGTAGTAGAGTTCAGTTATTGATTACTATTAAGCTAATAGACAATTCTATGCCATGATTCGGTTGTCAATGGATTAGAATCACAAGACGATACTTGCAGCTTGTGACTAGAGTTTATTAAAGGAGGAAAGAAAGGCTATCTGTCCCCTGTCATTTTCAAAGTTATTTAATGTTTTTGTAACGAATTTACTTAAAAACGATTTTCAAACATTAGATATATTGTAGATTTCGCAGATCTAGAACACATCTATCATTATGAAGATACTTGTAAATTTTCCAGACTCTGGAATAACCTACCACAATCTATCCGTACGATAAAATCACTCCCATCATTTGTTCTCTGTATCGATGCATACTGCTCCTCTGAAAATGCATTGAATGTTCTAGCACCTGTAAGTTTATCTCGTTCCACAAGTGATATTATAGGAACTTTAAATGTTTAACCATTTTTATTAGTGCATTCCCTAAATAAAACCACCTACTTGCTTTCACTTTATGTTAACACCGTCCCTAGCAACTTTGACTAATTTAAATAATACCTAACATCAACAGTATATCACTGTCACATGATAAATGCATTTTGGTATATATATATTATTATTATTATTATTTCTTCTGATTTTCAAGTATTCAAGTTATAAAAGACTATTTTTAAGGTGGAAAGTTCATCAAATGACTTTTAAATGAATAAGCTAATTAAATACACATTGCAATAAACTAACATATGTCAAAGAGAAATTAAATATCGCGATAATTACTATGAGAAAATAAATATGTTAAACTTTTTTGTGATATTTCCAAAATATAAAAAAGACATTCTTGAAGTCATACGAGTATAATGTAAGAATAGTTAAACATTTAAGTTATAAATTTTATTTCAAAGAACTAATAACGAATTTTTCTCTTCTCCAAGTACTTATAGATATTACACATAATGTCAATGAAATATATATTACACTAATGGAGAAGTGGATATAGAAATACAGCAGTACAGATCTATTAAATCGACGTTTTAAAGTACAATTAGATATATGCTTTTTTACAAAATCTCTGAAATATTCAATTCGCAGCTGTGTTCTCGATAGTTTTTTCTTCACTTCTTCCTCACAAAACATTCAAGTCTTATTATGTAACTCAGACAATATATTATCGATTCTTGATTGGGTGTAAGGAACTAACAAGAAACTTAATATCTCAATCCTAATAAATATCATTATCATTTCTTATTCGGTCAATAATTTATCCATTCATTTATACATATACAACTTTAAAATAATCAAAAATAAAAAATTGCCAAACACTTACCTGTAAGCCAATCTGAATTTCCCAATGCTCTTTCAGTTTCAACTAAATCTGCTTGAAGACGATTCATAGCCCATTCAGCAGTTTCATTAAATGCAATTAAACCTTCAGCTAATTGTAAAGCAGATGCTGTAGCAGTAGCTCGTGCTAATTCAGCTACTGCTTGAGATAGAAGTACTCGACTACGTCTTGATGCTGATAAACTTGATATAGAATCTAAACGCTGTATAGAAAAAAAATACTCATAAATATCCAATATTAATAGAGGAAACTTCAAAATAACACAATGAATATGTTAGAATATTAATATAATACGATAAATCATTATTTATAACTATTAGTCCGATGAATTTAAGTGAAATCAGTAGTTTCAGTGAATCATATGACTTAAATGAAACAATACTTTTTCGTATTAGATCTTGAAAAGAATTAGTAAACTATTTCAATACCTTTTCATTGATATTTTGAATTATCAGTAAGTTACTGAAATTCGATAGAATCAGTAGGCATTGAATTCATTAATTAAATATTACACATTGTCTCTCTTGAGCAATTTATTTATAATAGAAATGTGTAAATTTAGTATGTGTACAAAAATGAAATGGGTTATTTCATCACAAATTTCATAAAAACTATTTGCTCAAGAAAATAAATAAATTCTATGAGTTAATTGACGTTTAACTAATAAAAAATGAATTGGGTCATACAATCAATAAAAATATCTAACCGAAACTAAATACTTTAATATCCTAATTATTTGGGGTTAAGAATGTTTGTACACAACATAATTCTAGCCCTATATGCAAAGATGGATGGCGACAAGTAGTGCAATCCAAGATGAGCGTTTCGTCCCACTTGGGAATCGTCAGCTAGATGTACCTGCATCCTACAGTTGATGTTCACTATGGAGTGCAGGGACATCCAGCTGACGCGTCCTAGATAGAACGAAACGCGCGTCCTGGACTCCACTTCTAGCCACCATCCATCTTTGCTTATAAAGCTAGGGACTTAAGGTAATATCGATGCAATCCGTACAAGATGCACATATGCCAATAAGAGACATTAATTGCAGTTCTAAACAAACAAACAATACAAAATGAATTTATAATTCTAGTCTGTTTAAGTATGCATGTACACGAAGATGATTGACCGTGAGATTTAGTGTATAAAAGACTGGTTCAATTTACATTTACATTTTTGATATATAGACGTCCTCATCACATCAATACTGAATAGATGGAATCTGTGTATTAAATATGTAATAAACTATTGACTATCCGATTTATCTGCGGAGATAAACGTAAAATATTAATATGATTCATAATAATAGTAATAATAATAGCTGTGATAATAATGTGCATACTTTATTCATTTGTTCAAACATTGCTTCAACACTACGATCACAGATATTGCGCAACCGTTTGACTTCTGTTTGCTGTCTAATTAATTCGTTTTTCAAATGAATATCCATAGCATCTTGTAATAATTTTTGTCTTGTTAAACTTGTACCCATTATTTGACCAGATTGATCATTTAAACTATTCCATTCAGGCAAATTACCTAACTTATTAGCATATTCACTTAAAATAATTTTAATGTTAAAAAAAAGAAAAGAAATTTTATGAATGATTAAGTATATTTCAAATAAAATAAGTGTTAAAAAACGAAAAAATTCAAGTCAGTTATTAGTTCAGTGTGAATCTTAACATTCAAATAAAGATACATTCGGGTGATAAGTCCCAAACAAGACAAAACGTGCATTCAAAATTACACTACTAACCACTAACACAGTTAATACAGCTAAACAATTTCAAGATGCTCAGTTCATATTAAAAATAACATAAATGAGGGCAAATCTATCAATCTTTGACTAATCCTATTTATTTAACTGAAAAACTGTTTAAAAGTTCTAAATTTACAACAAGATAACCATAATATAATACTTAGAGTAATTAAAATCTAATTCTTAATCCCAATGATTAATTCTTATAAATGTATGATACTACTGAGATTGTTCTCCATACACTGAATTCAATAATGGATTGAATTAAATGAATAGCTGATTATTTAGGTTTCCTGATAATTTATGTGAAGTAAAAGAAGTTGATAACTAGCACTATCTATGAAAAAAAGATAGAATGATTGATAGACAACTGCAAAACTATTTTATAAATGATCCAGACGACATATCTATATATCTTACATAGTCTACCATGTAGTATACAATTGATCAATGCTTACACGCGAATTCTCAGTCATGAAGCAAACTCAAACAGACTTGAGTTATTTTGTACATGTGCTGAACTCGATAAGTGACTTCACATCCTTGTATATGATGGGTGAATTAGTAATAAAATCAAACTATCTCAGAAATGTGAGATCAGCTATATAGCCATTTCCATGACCATCAATATGAATCATGAGTATACTAAGAAGCTCAATAACTGTAGTCGATTGGATGGGTGGCTAATGGTGATAACTCTAGATAACCTTACTTCATACTATCGATATCAGCGTAGACAGAACCAAATTTTGTTAGTACATCTTGAATGATATCTAAACATTTTACCCATTGTGCAGTGGAATAGTGTTTTTCGACTTATTCACCTAAAGGTATCGTGACTGTCTGAAATATTAATGTTTTGAGTTCAATTCTGGATGGGTCTACAAGTATACACTCCTGAGAGGTTCCAGATCTCGTTTTTAATAACTCTCAAGTTGAGGCTAGCCAGTAATAAAATCTAACGACAGTCTTAAAAACTAACCAAATTATCAAATCAAACACTACACTTACCATGTCATAAAACGAATAATAATTGCTAAGGCTGTTAGCGTCACTCCAAATGTATAAGCCGATTTTAAACACAAATAACCCATAAGTAGAAATACACGAAACCAACGTGATATACAACTGTTATAATGATGACGAATTGGATTAGAGACTAGAGCTACACGATCGCCGTCTACATTTGATTGACTATCAATTGGACCCAATCTAACCCAAGCCATAGTAGGATCTTTAAGGAATTTAAGAAAGAAAATGAAAGTCCTAAATTGTCTTATACAACAATCTCATATACAGGTTATTAAGTTTAAAGAAATGGCAAATTACTGTAATCGTTCTAGTAGAACAAATCAATTTTGAACTAATCATGAAGTTCCTCTTAAAAATCAAATAACATAATCTGTGAAGTTTGGTGCATTAGTCATTTTATAAATATTATCTAAACAGTAAGTAAACAATAAAAGAGGTTAAAATATGGAGTAGTAACTCTTTCTTAGTAATTTCATTCCAGTAACTACCATAAAACTACATAAATAGTTGTCAACAAAAATAATTACAAAAACTACCATCTATATGAGGTATAAGTCAGCATATCATAATATATGAATGAAAAATCTCTCATAAATATGATAGAATTTCACTAGTGTAGGTTTATAATTAATCGAGTCGATGTAAAAACATTATCATTCATATAAACACAAACGACAAACGTTGTAATTATCTATTATTCACTATTTATTTGTATCTGAAATAACTAAGAAACTATAACAAATTAGAAGAGTAAACTGAGGTTTTATTGCTGATAAAACATGTCGGTCAACATTAACGGGGCTTCAGATTTCGACAGTGAATACCTTACACCATATATCAAAAACTACACTTCATCAGTACGGAAAACATTTTTGGGATACTGGTCATAATCGGAAGATTAACTCGTAAAATATCACTTTTAGAGGCTACGTTTTGTTATTTTCCCCAAAAGATAGTTAACTGATATTAGTTCAATACTTATTAGTTATGTTTTACAATGGATATAACAGCGGAAAACTGTAACTTTTATAGTCATTTAGGGTAGAACTAATGACAGATACTGTAACGGAAAGAGAACGGTGAAAATCCCTCCGCAGCGTTTTTGTTGGACAGTTCTGTCATTTATTTGTTTCTTCTCTCTTTCGTGTATTTTAACCTTTGTTCAGATTTTGTTTAACTACACCTTTTGTTCTTCAGTCTTCCTCGTCTTAGCTTTTATTACGTGATTTTGATTACAGACTTATCTTTTGTTACCTAATTTTCTATTGCATGTTGCCGGACTATTGACAGCAAGGTCGTGTTTGACTGAGCTCAAGGTCACGGCGTGATTCAGTGTGTGACTGTCAACCTTTTGACTGTCTGCTTGAGAGGATTGCTGGAATCCCTACAGATAGATATTTGACCCCATTTTGTTGGGAATATTTTTATCGATTCTCAGGTATCGAACCCTTTGGTATTAACTGTTTCTTTTATTGTTTAGCGCGCTACTTTGCGTTAGAGAAACTTCTGACTCTATAACACAGGCTGTACCGTTTGAGGTATTTTGTATTTTTGATATAATTTGTTCTATTTTTTGAATTAGAACCGTTTAAATTGAGCACAAAGTTGGTGTTTTGATATAATTTAATGAGTGTCTCAAAAACGCTTAGTAAGCTATACAGAAGAGGGTAGTCCGGCCTATTCGAATACGTTTTGGTTCGTCAGTCCTGCGTCCAAACCAGTTCGGTCGTTATAGGTACCCTAATCAATATAACTGGATAATGATTATGATATATCATAAGTTGATAATACTAGAAAAAAGAAGACCAATAAATTTGAACTAAGTCATTGAATATTGTACTATTACGAAATAAAACATGCAAATCTAACAGTGTAATTTCACGAATATAAATTTAATTAAATTTCTATTTAAAAAAAAATTAATCAAACATATTAGAATTTAGTCATATAAGATTATGATTGCTAAAACAATGAACATACCAGGTTCGGTGACAAATCCAATAAATAATATGATTAAAAGTAATAATAGTATACCAATTACTGAATAGACAAGTGCAGATGATGGTCCAAACGTATCCTTGCTTAGATATGTTGATGATGATGATGGTGATGATGACTGATCTGTTGACTCTGAATTAATATTTCGCTTAGCTAATCTGTATTCATCTGAATTTTCATTTCTATAATCATCTTTTAATGAAGTTCTTTTCGATAGACTATCCTGTATTGCCTGTTGACGTGCAGCTAAACTTGGTAGTAGATCAACTAAAGTTGGACGACTATCACCTGAAATAAAGTGTAATAGTTTCAATGATAATTTTCAAAACAATATATCATGAATATCTAGACGAGACTAGTTGTATCGAGTTATAATGTAAAAATATATAATTGAATAAACAATTAATTTAAAAAAAAAGATTTTTCTATTATAAATCTATAGATTTTAAATGTTTAGTGAAAAAACCCCATTTTTCATTTAATTTTTTGAACTCTTGACAGAAAATAACTGGAAACATTTAATAACCCAAACAACCATGTTGTGAAGTATCTAACAATTTTCTAACTCACTTTTATTAGTTTTATATTTATTTGGTATAAATAGATAGCACAATGAAAAAGCATAAATGGTGAGTATACAACTTAGTTTAAGTCACCTGAGAGTTTTAGGTACATTTTTTAAAAAGGGAATAGATCAGTTTTTATTAGCAGATAAATAATAAAACAGACAAAAACTGGATTCATTGATTTAAGTATCTCTACATAATGTATGTAAAAGAAGTTAAACCAGTTTTCGTTTTTTATCGTTAGGTGCCTATAAATAAAAACAGAGTTAACGTACTATTACAATGAATTCTATGGTTTATGAGGCTTGGAAAGAAGTAGGTAAATATTGTTTAATTAGTGTTGATTGCATTGAATCAAGAAATTTCTGTGGTTTATTCGTTATTAAAATGAATTCAAAAATATGTATGATTTGGACGAACTAATATATGTACTGATGTGTACAATGATGAAAGTTTTTGACTTGCAAAAATTAATGATACTCTTAAATTGATTTAAATAACATGATTTTTTTTATGGGCTTTCTCATCTTATTTAGAATAATAGTGATTTTTGTTAAAGATTTTCTTATGACCACTGGTGTTCATCCCAAAAACGAGATGGAACGGGTAGTGATCTGTTAAACAAAGATTTAATCGGTTGAAGGATGGCAAATCAATTGAAGTAGTGAAACTTCATCAGTTGAGATGGATGGTACACGTGTTACGTATGCCCAACCACCGACCACCCCGACGTGCAATGTTTTACAGTGTAGGAGTAGGTTGGAAGAAAGCTAGGGGTAGCCAATGCAAAACATGGCACAAATCCATGAAGTCACTGACAAGTGGACTGAGCCATATTGGTAGGTTTAGACTACCTGGATGATAGAAATCAATGGTTAGAGACTTTGAATGACATGGCTCAAAATCGTTTGCAATGGCGCAGGTGCATCCACTCTTTGTGTTCTCCCAAATTATAATCGTCTGAATTCTTTATGTCTTTTTTTCTTTTTCCAAATTTGTTTCACTGGATTATACTTCTTGAATAACATTTTAAAACCCTAATCTATCCGATTACTGCTTGTGCTCATACTACCTCTATCACTACAGGATTTGAATCGACAACTGCATCTCTGTTCTAATGTGGTATGATAACTCGAACTGATGTACATACGTACGAAATTCTACGTTGTTACTGACTGACTGAGCACAATATAGAATTCCCAGAATACAATGTTTTAACAAGTTCCATTTATTATTCTTATTCGTCCTAATATATATATATATATATATATATATATATATAATAAATAAAACTACAAAATTTCATGAAATCTCTAGGAGGAAAACAAGAAACTTCATAACAATGAAGTTTAGTAACTTAACATTCTAAAGTTTTGATTGCGTAATAGCCCAAGGTTTCAACTTTGATACAAAAACAATAATCCTGTGCTATTTATTCTCAAACCCAGTAAAAATTCCCCATACATTCTAAAAGAAATATCTTTTATACTTCTTCCCTATGTATTTCAGATTATTAGATGCATAAAGTAATAATAA